GTGCTGTGCCCTCAGGGAGTTTGGCCACAGGAAAGCTCTGATCCCAAATGGAGCTCCCACTTGCTGTTTTTCCCGGGTTTTGCTGTCCCCACAGCCCCATCCTTCCCTTGGGAATGCTGCTGGGGCTCTCCTTGCTGAAATGTCCCCCCTAAATCCCTCAGGATGGGGCAGTGCCAGCACAGCCCTGCTCCTGCTGCTCCCAATGGATGGAAGCCAGGGAATCACAAATTCCAAACTCTCCCCAAGCCCCAGGCCCATCCTGCTGGGTTTTATTGGGAATAACAAATTCCAAACTCTCCCCAAGCCCCGAGCCCATCCTGCTGGGTTTTATTGGGAATCACAAATTCCCAAACTCGCCCCAAGCCCATCCTGTTGGGTTTTTCCTGGCTATAACAAATTCCCAAACTCTCCCCAAAGCCCTGAGCCCATCCTGCTGGGTTTTATTGGGAATAAGAAATTCCCAAACTCGCCCCAAGCCCATCATTCTGGGTTTTTCCTGGCTATAACAGATTCCCAAACTCTCCCCAAGCCCCAATCCCATCCTGCTGGGTTTTATTGGGAATCACAAATTCCCAAGCTCTCCCCAAGCCCATCCTGCTGGGTTTTATTGGGAATCACAAATTTCCAAACTCTCCCCAAGCCCATCCTGCTGGGTTTTTCCTGGCTATAACAAATTCCCAAACTCTTCCCAAGCCCATCCTGCTGGGTTTTATTGGGAATCACAAATTCCCAAACTCTCCCCAAGCCCCAAGCCCATCCTGCTGGGTTTTATTGGGAATAACACATTCCCAAACTTGCCCCAAGCCCATCCTGCTGCGTTTTATTGGGAATCACAAATTTCCAAACTCTCCCCAAGCCCCAATCCCATCCTGCTGGGTTTTTCCTGGCTATAACAAATTCCCAAACTCTCCCCAATCCCATCCTGCTGGATTTTATTGGGAATCACAAATTCCCAAGCTCTCCCCAAGCCCATCCTTGTGGGTTTTTCCTGGTTTGGGGCGAGATGAAAGGGCCCTGCCCCACCTGGGGCACACCTGGAGCACAGCTGTCACCTCCCGGTGCTTTATGGCCCTTTGTGGTGCCGCGGGCTGATAAGGGCTCACCTGGGGGGGTGGGGCTGTTTGATAAGGGCTCACCTGAGGGAAGGGGGAGGATGGGGTTGGTCCCTTCCCTGTCCCCGGGGCTGCTCCAGGGTCTGCTGGGTCTGCTGGGAGCATCACCTGGAGGCAGGAGGACCAAGGGAGGGCTGGAATTGCCCTGGAATTCCTGGAGTTCTGAGTTTCCTTTGCTAGAGGGAATTTTGGGATCCTCTGGNACCCTGGGCTGGGGGCACAAACCTGCACCCACCCTGCATCCGTCCTGCACCCACCCTGGGCTGGGGGCACAAACCTGCACCCACCCTGCATCCGTCCTGCACCCACCCTGGGCTGGGGGCACAAACCTGCACCCACCCCCGGGCTGGGGGCACCCATCCTGTACCCACCCTGCACCCCCTGAGTCCCTGTGAGCTGCCAGCCCAGGGCTTGGACCTTCTGCATGTTCTCCTCGGGCACTGGGTGCTCTGGGATGTCACCTGTGTCCCTGCCTGTCCCACATGCCGCTGTGCACAGAGCCTGGGAAATTGGGGCTGGTGCCCTGAAAACCCCAGTGATGCTCATGAGGGTCCTCTAGACCTTCTTAGGGGGCTCTGGGTGCCTCTGGGGTGTCACCAGTGTCCTTGTCTGTCCCACATCTTGCTGTGCTCAGATCTCCAGAGCCTGGAAAATTGGGGTTGGTGCCCTGAAAATCCCAGTGATGCTCATGAGGGTCCTCTAGACCTTCTTAGGGGGCACTGGGTGCTTCTGGGATGCCACCACTGATGTTTGAGCTCCCTGCTCATCCCAAATCCCACCGGTCTTTGATCCCTAGCCCTGAGAATTTGGGGTCAGTGCCCTGCAGAGCTCAGGAGGTGCCTCAGGGGTGTCCTCAGCAGTTTTTCACCTCCCTGCCCGTTCCAGATCCCTCTGTGCTGTGACCCCCAGCCCCTGAAGTTCAGTGTCAGTGCCCTGCAGAGCTCAGGGATGCTCCCATCGATGTTTTGCCTCCCTGCCCATCCCAGATCCCTCTGTGCTGTGTCCCCCAGCCCTGGGGGTTTGGGGTCAGTGCCCTGCAGGGCTCCATGGTGGTGCTTGGGGCAGGAGGATTTGCACTCTCAGCTCCCCAGCAGCTCTGGGAGTGCCCAGGAGAGGTTGGGGGAAAGGAGGAGAAGGGTTTGGGGCTGCTGCTCCTCCCACATCCCTGCAAACCCTGGAGTTGGTGCTGAGGGAGGATCAGCCCTGGCTCCAGCTCCAGCCCAGCCTGGCCCTTCCATTAACGCTGCTTTTGCTTTGCAGGGTCCCTGCTGGAGGCTCGGGGTGAGTGAGGGACAGAAGGACAGACAGACAGCCAGGAGGAGAGGATGGACACTGCAGCTGGGACAGACAGACAGCCAGGAGCATTTCCCAAGGACGGCATGGACACTGCAGCTGGGACAGACAGACAGCCAGGAGCAGCTCCCAAGGACAGCATGGACACTGCAGCTGGGACAGAAGGACATCCAGAGCAGCCAGAACAGCTCCTGAGGACAGGATGGACACTGCAGCTGGACAGAGGGACAGAAGGACATCCAGGACATCCAGGACAGCCAGGACAGCCAGGACCATCTCCCGAGGACAGGATGGACACTGCAGCTGGACAGAGGGACAGAAGGACAGCCAGGACCATCTCCCAAGGACAGGACAGACAGTGCTGGGCTGCACATCCCTGCAGGAGCTGAGCTCCTCCCCGCGGCACTGACAGCACTCAGGAGCAATTTCTGCTGGACTTTGGGAATTTGGGAATTTTCCTTGTGGATCCTGGCCATGGATGGACGCTGAAGAGCTCCTGGCTCAAGCAGGAGCTCAGTGCTTTTCTCTGGCAAGGACCAAGCCCTTCCCTGCTTTCCAATGGATATTTTTGGTTTTTATTTTTGCTGGTTTTGGGGGTTTGGGTGTTTCCTGAGGCTGCTGGAGCTGCAGTGGATCCATGGTGGGACTGGAGCCTTTGAGAAGCAGGAGCTGAGCTGGGCCTGGGGCTCCAGACTGGCTCACCCTGGGCTGGGGGGCTCAGGAGGGTCCTGGTGCCACAGCTGGAGCATCCCAGAGGATCCCAGGGTGGGAATGGGGGGAAGCCAAACCCAGCATGGGGAGTGTCACCCTCAGAGACAATTAAACTGCATTTAATTAATTTAATAAACCCCATTGGCTCTGTGAGTGCTGGATGTTGTTTTCCCACATTTCCAGGGGGTTTTGGGGATGCTTTGGATTGTCCAGGAAACCTTGAGAATGAGAAACTCAAGCTAACAAAGCCAGCCCAGGAGTTGAGCACTTTCATTCTGCAGGAAAGTTCTCCCCTTTCCTTTCCCTCTTCCCTTTCCAGCCTTTGCCCACCACTGCCACCCCTCCTGCCCCAAAAGCCACTGAAATGCAAATTATTTCCCTAAAATCCCGTTGTTAATCGTGCCTGGATCCTTTTCCCTCCTACCCCGGGAGCACCAGCAGGTGCCCTGTGGGGACAAAACATGAAAGGGATATTTAGGTAGTGGAAATATCCATTTATGATCATTAATTTTTTTAGGATTTTGAGCATTATTTAACCAAAAAAAGGGTTCTTGTTATACAAAAAGCACAGAGTGATGAGCATGGATTCAGAATGATGATTTGGGAGCAGCCAGGGTGACTGGAAGTTTCTGCCAGGATTATTTAGGTTGGGAAAGGTTTCCAAGGCTGATCCCCACCTTGTGCATTAAACCAGAGCACTGAGGCTCTGCTCCCCCTGTGCCATCCTTTTCCAGCACAGAATCCTGCGTGGATCCAGGGATGTGGGATTTGGGGTTTTTGGGCTTCCTAAGGAATGTTCCCCTTTGGATCCCCCAGCGAACAGAGCCAGGGAAAGGTGGGACCTTGCTGGGTGAGCAGCTGGAAGGAAACCCAGCCTGGCT